TTAGATCCTGTTACAACCTCGGTTTTGATCCATGGAAATTGACAAAGGCACGATTCGAGTTGGATTCGCATCTAAACACTCATAGCCTCACTGAAATAAAAATGCGAAAACAAATACAATTAAAAAGAGTTTTGTCAAACGGGATTGTCAAGAATAAAAACCTAACACATTTATTTTGATTTCATATTGTTTATGTATCTGTATAGTTATTGCTTTTATCGCTTTTCTTGGTCTATTTGAGAAGTATGATGCATCCTCTAAATCAAGTAGTGAACCCTAATCTTTTGTCAATTAAAGTTTTTGAGCCACTTCGCTATTCTAATAAAGTCTTGACTAGTCTTTTTTATGGTCTATAAAGAATTGTCTCTCCAAAAAAAGATTGCAATTATGATTTTAAAAGTATAGTTTCTATTTTTTGAAAATATATAGAATGAGTCATGTGGCTATTATTATTGGATTGATATTATTTTTTTATTTTTATAAATAATTTATACAAATGAGACTAAAAATAAACAAATAAAATCATCAAAATTGACATTATAAGGTCATTAAAATGTCAAACTAGACTGTCCAATACATCTTCTATGAAGAGAAGTTTATTCTTAGTTGATAATTGATTAAATTAATAATTAACTCATGCTCTCCTAAGTCTCAACTTTTGAGTAGTGCTAATGTTGAGTGGGTTCAAGAATATCATCACCACCATAAGCTGGTAGTACAAAGTAAGATAAAGGTTCAAAAAAGGGATCTTTTTGGTTCAAATAATTAACAATGACCTACATGTTTACAAGAAAGGCAACAAGTTCTCTCTATTCTCTCTTCAAATTTAAATTCAACTTTGTGTCTTTGGACTCTCATCAAAAGCAATTTTGGTTCTTGTGTTGTCTTTCTTTAACCCATATGGAGAATCGCATTTCTATTAACCTCAATTTTTTTTATTTTTTAGTCAACTCTCTCTTTAAACATGGCAACTTTGTATAGTTTTTAACATAATAATTTTGCTCTCCCACTCAAAATTGTTTAAAATAGTATAGCATTTTGGCTGATTAATATTCTCTCCATTACAACATCTGCTAATATAAAATAGTTGTTTGAACGTATTATTATTTCAAATTAAGAAAAATTTCAAATCAGAGAATCTCAATCTCCAATTCAATCTTTGTAACTCAATAATAGTGGCATTTAGGCAGTGTTTGCATTTTATGAATTTAAGGAGATATTAGTAGAGGGAAAAGAAAAGAGAAGCAAACTGTGGGAAAGCAAAATTAGTTGACATTCCATCTGCATTTTCTCTCACATTTCATTTTCCTTCATAAATCCTTATTTCAATTCATTCATGATCCAAAAACAACCACAAAATTACATTGAAAAGAGTTGTCGCAAGGGAGTGTATCATTCTGATTAAGGCCGAATTGTACATCATTGAGGTCGTTGATTAGAATCTCTTAACTTCACTTGCTGGTCAAACTGTATACTTTATGTGTGTTGAATGTTAATTAGGTTGTACATAGTCAGAGCATAAAATGGGCAAAAAGACAAAATTTGGAGAGAGTTGACTTTTCCGCACGTGCGTTGACTTTTAGAATATAAAGTGAACACACCAAAATTAAACACTAAACTACACCAAATTCTTTTAGAATAATGGCAAGTCCAGGTATCGATTCATATGGACAATTGTGAAATTAAACTAATTTAATTGTTAAATTCCTAAATTAATTTTTGATAAAAAAGATTGATTATTCATAACCTAATTTAATAACAAATAAATTAAACTAAATAATTAAATTATCAACTATAAATAAAATTGAGTTTACTGATTTGGGAAAAAACCTAGGGTAAAGAGTCCACCACTAGTCACGTAAAAAGGGTTTCCAATTGAAATCAATTTTGCTATGGTTTGAACGGATTAATGCTTCGCAACTACAAGCTCAAAGCATTTAACAAGAAGATCATCACATTCAATGTACGAGCACAAACCATCTCTAGTAGGATGAATCGTTCACTCTAAACTAAGGTAGTGACACGACTCGTCCCTCGTAGTATGGTTCGTCTCATATATTGAATGTGAAAGAAATAGAAAACTCTTGTATGGAAGACATTCAACAATCACAAAAAGCCGAATACTTGAAGAAATAATGAAAATTATATAAAAGAAACTTCTAAAACACCATACAAATGTTCAAACCTTTACATAATTAAAAATAAAAAAGAAAAAACTAATTACATGGCTAGGGTTTCATCAAAACCCCAGAAAAGGAGACTAACCACTTATGGAGGAGTGAAAGGAGGTAGATGGAGAAGAAGCCACCATGGGAGACATGCTTAAAGCTTCAAGTTTCTTCCTTTCCTAAACCTTAGCCTCTCTCTTTTGTCAAAACAAGTTCAGAACCCTATTCCAACCTTTTTCTTGCCTTTTTATACTTCTGATCTCTTCCAAACAAGTTTAAAACGTCAGGCACATTTTCTCAAAAAAAGTCAACACACGTGCGGGAAAGTTAACACACGTGCGGAAAAAGTCAATGCACGTGCAAGAAAGTCAACTCTCTCCAAATTTTGTCTTTTTGCCCATTTTATGCTCCGACTATGTACAACTTGATTAACATTCAACACACATAAAGTATACAGTTTGACCAAGAAATGAAGTTAAGAGATTCTAATTAACAGCCTCAATGATGTACAATTCGACCTTAATCACATTCACTAAATCAACTCTTTAGCCTTTATAATCATATTCTTGTTTTTGCATATATTACTTTTCAATTGTATTTTTTGGTGTTTCGATTCTTTGTGCTAAGGTAATAGTATATTTTTTACATAAGCTACTGTAAATTGCTTGAAAAAAAAAAAAAATAATAAAAAAGAAGAATAAATGCTTCATGGACTTGAATAATGAAGCAATTGGTTGAAGCATCGGATATTCTTCTCCATGCATCTTGAGCCCATAAAATATCAATAAAATGAAAATATTCCAACCCCTCAGCAATATGATGAATCGATGTGCATAGCGATACATTTTTGAATAAGCTGGTGAAATTAAGAAAACATTTGTGTTAATAATCTTCTAGATTTCTTATTAAATTGGATATAGTCACTACAGGAAAATGAGGATTTAACGGCGTTTAATTAACGACGTTTAATTAAACGTCACTTTTTTTATAATTAACGGCGTTTTTTAAACGTCGCGTTTGTTGTTAGGTAAAACGGCACCGTTTTGAAAATAGAAGACGTTTATAAAACGCCTCCAAATCCTGTCTCTCTACACACCCTCTTCCCTGTCTCTCTTCACACCCTCTTCTGCCTCTCTAAACTTTTATTTTGAAAACCCTATTTTGAGCATTGCCGTCTCCTTCTCACGCACTCAAATCTCTCACTCACTCACTCTCTCTCTCTCTCTCTCTCTCTCTCTCTCACACAAATCTCTCTAGATTCTTCCTTAGTTCAGTGATTCTTCTTCGATTCTTCTTCAGTTCGGTGATTCATCTCGGGATTGCGATTTCGAAGTTCGATTTTGAGCATAGATCCGTGATTCATCTCCGTGGATTTGGAACTCTTCGTCTTCTTCGATCAGAGGTTAGTTGCTCTCTCTTTCTCTCACTCAAATCTCTCTCGATTCTTCCTCAGTTCAGTGATTCTTCTTCGATTCTTCTTCAGTTCGGTGATTCATCTCGGGATTGCAATTTGGAAGTTCGATTTTGAGCATAGATTCGTGATTCATCTCCGTGGATTTGGAACTCTTCGTCTTCTTCGATCAGAGGTTAGTTGATCAGAGGTTAGTTATATCTTCAATCTGTTGACTAGGGTTGAGGTTCTCTATTTAATTGAGGGGCTTTGATAGGATGTCCCAACATATAAAATCATAACGGGCTTAATTAGATCAGTGTCGAAAGAGATGAAGTACACCTCTATGCGTCTTGTGCGTCTCGAGCATCTTGATTGCGCTTATTAAAGTCACCTTGTCTTAGGTCTGTTGAGGAGCCTCAGGAGCACCTCCTGCCTAGGTGTGCACTTTGGTGTGCTTTTGATAACACTAGGTTAACCATTAATTAATCGAAACCTTTTGTGAATTCTTGAAACAGGGGACATTCTTGCCCTGAGGGCACATTCTAGTACGTTATTAAAATTTACCATTTTGTGCAATATATTCTTGTGCCATTCTGTCAGCATAGTTTCTCATTCAGTTGGTTTCCCAATTTATACAAACCTCAAAAGAAAAAGAAGCCTTGTATCAGGTATGACTGTAAAGTAGACTTTCTATACCTTATCTTTTGTATACTACTTTGACATGCTAGTGAAAATTTATTTGTTTATTTTGGAAGTTTGTAGCTTGCAATATGGCCAAACTATTCTTCAGAGACATTATGGTAACATTTTAAAAGGATATTTTATGCTGTTCAGAATATCATACTGAATTCATTTTAGGAAATTGGGTGTAATAATTAGTATGAATTGTCATATTTACTGTTTCCTTGGTTGCTCCTGCTTCTTGTTTGGACCACATGTTTCTGTATTCTCTAACACTTCTGGGATTAGATACTATTTATGTACATGTGTGAAGATACACCTCATGTATGCTTCATTAATTATAGTGGAACATGTTGATACAACGTTTTCCCAATTGTTTGTTCACTTGTCAAAACAACAAAGTTTTTCCACATTGGTTATTTACTGAGATTATGATTTTCTTGGGCAGTCACATTGATAGTACATCTTTGATGGGCCAATTTACAGATGTACCACTTTTTTCTCCCATATTTTGTGGGACATCTGCTAGTCCTTCTAATTAGTTTATCTGTCTTGCAGCCCCAATTGCTCAGTTGATGTTTAGTTCACACCTGACAAAATCCAAGGCGGAGAAGTATAAGGCACACATATTACTAGCATTTGAGTCTGTTCTTGGGTCCCCTGTGACAATTGAAATTAGATGTGAATTTAGGAAAAATGCAAGGGCTGGGGTTAATACGCCACTCATCTTACTTGATTCTCAGGATGGTACATCTCTGATGCGTACAATTGCAGAGCTTACCAGTGGTAACAGTATGACTGCGCTAGGATATGGTGATACCAGCAAAAGGGTTCCTAAAGAAAGAGCTGGTGTAAGTCAAGCCCCTGACTCTCTTGGACTGGGAAGGAGTGAAATTGTTGAAATAAATTCTCCAGGAGGGCAGAAAAATAATGAGCATAAAGATAACAACTTACAATATGATATGAAAGATTTGGAAAATCCTTGGATAGGAGAAGTGGAAGCTCCACATAAGAAATGCAAGTTTTACTGGCCTAGTTTGTTATTTTTTTTGTTTGTGATCTTTCTTGAGTATCTGATTATGCAAATTAGTCAAACAGCAAAATGTTTGAGGCAATTTTCCAGATCTTGAAGGAAGAGAATTCATTAGAACTGATAATGTCAAGTTATCAGCTTCTAAATGAGCTAGATAAGGTATTTGATGATAACCCTTCTCTGTTTCTCTGTATATTTTTTTCATGTTTACATGCTCAAATGTTTTGACACCATTATTTTTTGGTGTTTGTCCGTTTAATGTAGCGTTAGCCTCGCGTGTATACATCCAAAGTGGAATTATCAAAATTACCTTCAGCTAGTAATGCTCCTGAATTAGATATGGTTGAAGAGGTATCACATTTGGGTTTGCTCCAGACACCAGCAAGTAGTAGTGGTCTGTGTGTTCTTGGTTTCTCGTGGTAGTTTTTCATGTTTATACTTTTGCTTACCAACTTAAATTCTGAACATTTTTCTTATTGCAGCCCAATCCAGACCCCCGAATTCATGCACCTACAATTGCAAAAGTCCTTCTCAAGTCTAGAGGCTTCTTCACGAAAGTCTTTCTGAATGGTTGTGGTTTTGTACAGTACAGGTTCACTAAGTGTTTGATTTTTACAAAGAATGTTACATAAATTTTCAAGCCATGTTGATATATACTACTGTTATTAATTAGTGAAGTAAGTTGTTATCTTAATTGATGTGTAGTGAAATTTGCAGACATTGATGCATAAATTTTCTATTTGTATATGTATATGTATATTATTCCTTGTTACTTAGCAGACATTGATGCAGCAGATGTTGATAATGAATTGGCAGTTGTGAAGTATGTTGAGGACATCTACAAGTTCTACAAGTTAACAGAGGTACTATGGCTTGAAAACTCAGCTTCTTTTTCCTTTTACGAGAGTAGATGCATCTGTTTATGGGATGACTGGTATGCTTTGTAGGACCGAGCAACAACTAATTCGGTTTTTTGCAAACCAAGATCAATTGGTATAGTGGTGCTTTCTTTAGTAGTCTAACAATGAAAAGATGCTTTCTTTCTGTTTTCGTTTTCTTTGACAATCTCTTTCTTCTATTTTGTGAGCATTCTTACTCAATTAACACATCTGCTTTTGCTTCCAATGGGCTCCAGGGTGAGGCCAAGAGTGCCCAGCTGATAGGTCAAGCTATTGCCAATAATCCGGCATTTATTACCCCAAGGAAGATTGAAGCTGCTAGAGAAATTGCACATACAATCTCAAATTCAGCCAACAAGGTTTTCTTGACTTCAGATGAACTGTTGTTGAACCTTCAGGAGACAAACTTGGGGACCTCCACTGGGCAGAAGTAAACACAGCAGGCTAAAAAGCCTCGGTAACTTCCCTCTTTAGTTCTATTTGTGACTCTTCATTTGTGGGAATATCTTATTAAGCTCTGCGTAGTGGACATGTTGAATGGTTTTATGTGTTTTTTTCTTTTCTTTTGTTTTTTGAAGTCTTCGGAATGAATGAATATATTTGTCAAACTTTTCATACTGTTCAATCGAGAACCGTGTTCAATAAGGGTTAGACTTTTATGATATGATTTTGGAGCCATCTGGTAACATGGCTTATCACATTTTTAGTTGAGTAATGCTAGAGATTTTAAGAGTTGGATAAAGTAATTGCTATAGAGAATTGGATTATTAGTACTATGGTTAAGATGAAATAAAAATATATACATATATTACATAAATTTTGTATAATATATTCTGTATTCTTTAAGAGTTGCCTCTTTTTGAGTCCTCGACATGCTTTCCTTTTCCATTCAGGTTCTTCAATCGGTGCTTCCGAATGAAGATGAAGAAGTTTTGCTCGGACAATATGATGGCTACACTGATGACTGAACAGTTCCAGACAACCCAAATACTCCCACTTTTGCAACTATGATTCTGCGAATTCACAATGAAAGATGGGAAGGTGTGATATAAGATATCTACAAATTAATTACATATTCTTCATATTTGTATTTTTAAATTACTTTCACAGTTGAGGAAGATAAACCTGTTGATTCTCTGATCAGGAAACTGTTCTTTCGCACATAATTCAGACTTAACCTCTACTCATGTTATTTATTCTTAAGCATTAGATTAATCAAAATGTAGTTCCTGACTCTGATATGTTTTGACTGCAATCTGTATGAATTGCTTGCTGCAGGTGTTCCGTTTATACTCAAGGCAGGGAAAGCATTAACTTCTAGGAAGGCAGAAATCCGTATTCAATTTAAAACCGTTCCTGGTGATATATTCAAATGTATGGTCTCAGACCTGCTTTTCAGTAATCTTCTGAAGTCTATATCTTGCTTGATTTGCATGTGTGATTGATGTCGGGGAAAAAAAAGAAGGGTCCTCTAATTGAAAAATAACAGAAAACAGGGTGTTCATGATAGTACATGAAATAACTGGACAATAGCTCGATGTGATTGTTAATTATCATGATGTGTATCCTTTACAGTTCCACGTACTGTTGCTTCAACGCACTCCATTTTTTTTGGCTTATGGTTATTTGGTCTATGCTGATTATGCATCAATTATTGGCTTGAAGACTGTCTTGTATAAATCCCATTTTTACTAGGTCAAAAGCAAGGAAGGAATGAAAGTGTAATCCGTCTGCAACCTTCAGAGTCCATTTACATGAAGGTTACGGTGGTATGTGATTGTTCACAGTATCTGCTTCAAACATCGCATTAATGTTTGCTGCTAAAACTTTTGAGTCCTTTGGTTATGAAACTCAGTTTACATTATAGAGATTGTTCTTTGTTTTGCCCGTGTGTGCTTTCTTGTCATAGGTTCTTTGACTAGGGCATGAACAAATTCACAATGTTTTAATTTTTTTGGTATGGACTGACACAGTAGTTTGAGATAATATGTGGATTAAAATAAAAAAACTAATTATTTGAAAGTTGAGAAATTATGCTTTTAACTTTCATTTTTCGATTATCAACTTTTAATTTATAAAAAATTATACTAATTAAATAGGCCAAGTATTTAAGCTAGGATTTTTACTGATAATAAATAATATCAAATTATTGTGGAGCAAACCACAAAACTCGAGTCACATTAGTGTGCAAGACTTTCAATAAAATGAAAACTCAAAAAGGCAAAATATTCGCAACTACAAAAAAAATATGTATAATAATAATAAATTAAAAAAACAAAAAATCACTTATGCTGTGTTTGGTTGGGAGACTTGGAAAAAGATTTGGAAAGAAAGATAGAAATGAAAGGTGAAATGTGAATAAAATATACCTACATTTCACCTAGTTTCACATATCTTTTCCCTTTTCTTTTCCAAATCCTTTTCCAAATCCCCCAACTAAAGACAGTATTAGGGTTGTCATTGACTTTATCAATAACCATTGGAGTACAGGCCCAACTATATAGAAGTTGGCATGACCACACGAGTCTGGCCTAGTTGATGTGTTCTGAGCTCAACGAATTTGTTAATTAGTCTTAGGCAGTCACTATGGGCCAGGTCGGGTGTGCAAAATACCTAGTAAATTGAAGAATCGAACTAATTTGATCTTTTAAGTTTGTTTAGTTTAGTTTTTGAGTATGTTAGTTTGGTTTCAAATCTTCAAATCATCAACCCAATAAGATTGAATTCTTAATTTAGGTTTTGCCTAAACCGAACTAGTCTAATAACCGAATTTATATATATCATGTAAAAATCTATTTAAATTGACACCTCTTCACCTAATTAGACTATCATAGTGGATTGGATTGCATTTAATATTTTTTTATATAAAAAAATATTATTGGATTTAATTTGTATTGGTTGTGTTTTAACTTGAATTGAACTTTACTATACTAGTGTTCACACTTGTTGGCATGTCTTAAACAATATTTTGTTATATTTAAATGTTAAAAACATATTTATTATCGATTAATTCACTTACTTTTTTATGTAGTGAAACTATAGTTCCAACTTGAACTAATCCAAGCTACATTTGCTTGAGCTTGGTTATAATGCATGATTGGTTTGGTTTTGAGTTTAAAAACTTGAAATCGAACATGATTGGATTAGTTCCAAATTTAATGTCAATCCAAATCAAATCAACCCATGAACGCCCTAGGTATGACATAGATGAGAAATTTCAAAAGCTCTACCTAATCTGTTTATCAGCTACAATGGTAGAAATAATAAATACAGAAAAAAATACAATGTTGATGTCACTTGGAAAAGAAATATATTCGAAGAAGACTCATAAATCAGCAATGTAGAGAAGATGTAAGGATCGTATGTAAATTAACCCATATGGGTTTTCATTTATTTTGACCCAAAGAAATGTGCTTTCAGATTCACATCTGATCAGAAACAGAAGGAAATAACAAGAACACTTTATTTGAAATCAAGGTTTCAACAACTTCTATTCTTTTGCATCTTGTATTATTGTTGTAACTGCAAATCCTTCACCCAAAAAAAAAAAAACAAGAAAAGGAAGATAAGAATTAAGAACAGATTAGTCAATTAATTACCAATATATAGTAAGAAAAATGAAATTTGTTGGCTCATTAGTGCTTATGCATGCCATGGAATACCTGTTTTGTTAGTTGCTCTCCCGAAAAATTGATTGTCTGATACATTCCTGACAATTTAATTTGCATCAATGAGTAAGATCAACCAAGACATTAGTAAATTTATTGAGCAAAACTGGAAAGAAAAAAGTAATCGGGGATAAGTGAACATTGTTCTGTGTTGGGGATGAAGTATACTAGGAACAAACTCTTTTTATTTATTTATTTTATGGAAATTATGCTGTATCATTTAATTTTTGAAGAACGCAAAAAATCAAATCCTTGAGTACGACCCTTCCTATTACATATTTTGGCCTCGTTCTTTCTATGCAGTTTCTTGCAATTTAAAATTCGAGAGTAAGAAAATAAAACTCTAAAGTGTCTCCTCTTCCCAAACAAGTTTTTTCAAGGTTTGTTTTTATCAAAGAAGTTGCAACAATACTTTTGTGGCATAATTTCAAAATTACAAAAAATAACAAATAAAAAAAATTTGTCATAAGTTGCACTAAACAGAGCATTGAGAAGACAAAATGGGGAATAAATAACTCACTGTTGGCTTTTTGGCTTTCGAAGGTTATTATTGTAATTGCGAGCGTGCCAACAAGGATCAATCAGTCCTTACAGAAAATTAATTGCCAACCAATTATCAGACGATTGCGTTTTAGTTCTTTCAGCCTCAATGAAGGGGACTTTTACTGATGGCTTGATTTAGGAGAATTAAGCAAAATAACAATTAAATAAAAAACAGTTGAAGTATTTCATTAACATGAAAAAGCTTACAATGATCCAAACTCAGCCTCGTAGAGGTTTACAGCAACAATCTACTTGAAACTACTCCTATGAACGAAGTGCAGTGTAGGAATTTAAAGTACAGAAAATGTAAGACTGGAAATGTAAAACTAGAAAGAAAAATAAGTATAATAAGAATGGTTTTTTGGATCTGAGTTTGGGGGTCTTTTTCTGGGACTTTCTCTGCTATTTATACTTCTCGAGGATGACCATCGAACTGCGTTTCCAACCGTCGAACTGCTCCTCTATGATCGCTGATCATGTTGCCTTGTAATTAGCCCACTATGCCATCACTTGCAGTTAGACTTCCCTCATAAATTTGAATTTAAATGTGAGTAACCATTGAAGCCACATCACCTTGCATCTCTTTGTTGATTCATTGCTGCTCAGATCTCGTAAAAACCAATACTAACTGCCACGTATATGATCAGGATCGAAGACTTGAATAGTCTTCCTGTATTACCCTTATTCTGCCACGCGTCGAATTGCAATTGGCTTGTGCAAAATATGTAGCCAACATTACCCCCTGCACTAATATACCCAATACTTGGTGATATTAGTGGATCAAGGTCTTTTACCCACATCTTAGAACGTGCATGGGCTTTGCATTCTTCTAGAAATGCAACTGTCATTCATCATCTGCATTAACTCCCCTTCAATCTTTTGAACACCCCCACAACCTTAGTATTCGAGCAGACTGATACATTTTTATGGCCAAATCAATTTCCTCCTCCATTGATCGAGCACACGAAGAGTCATCTGATGATGCTGTCCCTCCTCGAAAGAACCTCATGCATTAATTAGCCACCTTTACCCACCTTTCTATATTCAGGTTATGGATGCCTTTGCCAATTATCAACCCTTGGACTACGGACACATTGTCCTTAATCCTTTGATTTAGAAAATTACAAATATGGACATGGGAAATTCTTCTTCTGACTCACCTTTGGACTACAAACGAACTGCTCTTAATCCTTTGATTCAGAAAGTTACAAATATGGACATGAGAGGTTCTTCTTCACAACCCTCTGCATGGGATAAGGCTGCAACTTCTTCTTCCTCTGGGACTTCTAACTGGACACACTGGTCAAAACCTGAAGCCTGTGATTTAAGGGAGCGGATCAACCATCACTTTGTCGAGTTTACTGACCCTTTAGAGTTCCCTTTCTATGCGCGAAGCTTGGTGGTCTATCCTTACGTGCCCATCGATCATCAACGCAGTTTGGAGGAAAATCTGCTTGTAGCATGGTATACATCCTCCATGCCTACAAGGATAGTGCATGCTGCCCAACGCCTCGAAGAGGCACAAGGGTACAATCCATCATTCTTAGCCCAGAAGGCGAAGATTTGTTCTTCTGATTGGCTCGATTATATTAATGCCCTTGTTTCTTCTGCCCTTGCTCTATCTCTTGAAATAGAAGCATCCACACCTTCTTCTCCGCCAAATCCTTGTTGGACAGAGAGACTGAGGCTTGCTCTCTCCGTGGATAAGGTCTTTCCACCTTACAAACCTCCACTTTCCCCTACTCTAGCTGAGCGGAAGCAAGCTCAACTTCTGCTCGCGGCTTTCTCTCACTTGCCCTTCAATGTTCTTGAGGACGAAGTCCCTCTCAAGAACTTTCGATGGGCTTGTGATATTCTGACTTGGGGCCATGTCCTCAATCCCCTCGCCCAAGCAGAGCTTCACATGTTTTTGGACCAACTTCCATTGCTTCTCCATTGGCATCGGACCTCTATGGCCACCACACAATCTTTAGACCAACTCTCGTCCCTTCGAATTTATGCCCAGTACGAAGCAGAGAACTTCATTGAAGAATTCGACGATTTCAAGAATAAAGATTTTGCGTACTGGGATGACTTGGATATAGACGAATTGGAACAAGGATTGAGAGAAACAACATTCGAAATAAAAGGCTGAAGAGCTCTTTTACGAAGTGAGAGCACATCAACTCATCCAGCCAATGTTAGAAGAAATAGAGAATAGAATAAAGAAAGAACAAAAATTCATTGATCATAGTTGGACCAAATTTCATAATCTTGTTATTTATTCTATTCCTTATTTTTATGAACTTGAATTTGTACCCAAAGAGGGCCATTCAATGTAATTGCTTTTGCTTTAATACAAGTAAGACTTTTCTCTTTATTTGGCATTGTTTGATCTTGTCTCCATTTGTCTTTAAAAGCAAATTCAAGGCTTCGAACTGAACAATCTTATCCTTTGAATCTAAACTCAATTGTTTAAAATGAAACACTAAAAACCAACTTGAACTTTTCCAATTTATGGAATAATAGTTGACAATTTTTGCTGATTTTCATTTAGAATCAGTGCATCGAATTCGACAGTCCTACCCCTTAAAGTTTATTTCGATCATAACCAACATATGGTCATGGTCAGTATCATCAATCAGTTTTAAATTGACCATTTTTCCCTAGAATAACAGTCCATACTTTTAAAAATATGAAAGCTCCTTTTTAGGGCTGCAATGCTTTAGTCTAGAAAGAGAATCTTTCTTAAATATATACAAACCAATTATTGGTTTTGATGTTTCGAACGGCAATTCCCATCC